TATATATATACTGTATGTAAAAATCAAGAACAGAGGTCCCACTTTTGACATGTCCTCCCATGGAAGAAAAAACTTTGTTCCAAAAATGTATTAAGAGACCAGCTAACCAAATACATAAAAATAAAAATATCCATAATTTCTGGTTTTGGATGAAAATGTAGAGAAGGCTCCGAGGAGCAAAGCAGGGAACATAAGGAAGGGCAGGAAAGAAGGAAAAAGTGTCTTGCTCCTCCGAGAGCAGAAATAAAAAGATTAACCAAAAAATAATAAAGTAAAACTCTCCAAAAACATTTTTTAAATCAAAAGGATCCTGGGTGTCCTTTAAGGTAAAGATGGTGGGGCATTAAGCAAAACATCTTTTGCTGCTTAGCGTCATTTCCTTTTCATAAAGGTTGTGATTTGATCCTGTGGCCCTCCTCCCTCGTTACTCTTCTTCCTACAGAAAATTTGACCTCATTCAGATTAACAAATATTATTTTCTCCAAAAAACAGTGATAGTGACAACTCTACATTGTAGGATGTTTTTAGATTCTGGGGTTATTAGGACTGGTACATTTCAGTTTCAAGAACCAAGTGTTGCTCGTTTCCTCCTTGTTTCATGTGGCATGGTCTCCAGCAGATACTTTACAGTTTGAATCGCAGTGAGCTGAGAACCTTGGATCATGTGAACTTGTAAACTGGATATAGCAAAGTGGGCGTAGAAATTTGGTAAACATTTTGAAAATCCTTATCCACCACCACTCTCTCTCCCTGGGGTCCTAAAGAGCACTGGTGCTGTACAGGAGGGGGATGGGGGGCATTTTATAGAGTTTTTCAGCCTCCAAGGGGAGGGGATACTCTTGCTTCTCTGCATGTTTGTGTTAAAGCTCACTGGCCCACAAAGTGGATTTCTTTTGTTTTGTTTTTTCTCCCACTCTGCAAGTTCTCAACATCTCTGTCAAAGTTTCTGTTTATTATGATTTTTTTGTTTGTTTTCCATTTGCGGAGTAGTGTACTTATATGATGCTTCAGAGGTAGTTCCACCTGCATGCTAAATTCAGATTAGTAATTCAAAGCCTCTTTGACACATCTGTCAACAGGAGATTTGCTTTTTAAACAAATGTAGGTAGATATCATCCCTTTTGCTGTTCTCTTGCATTCACAATGCAGCATGAAGAACCACAGAGAGATGTTTAGGATACTGTGAGGTGCTGCTGAAATGAAATCACATTAACATAACCCAAAGCATCATCTTCCCAACGGGATGATTTTGTCCTCTCAATGAGTCTATAGTCAATCCAGCCCTGCACACTCGGCTTACATCATCCTGCTCTGAGATGAAAACTAGTGCAAGAGTTGTGCAAGAAAACTCATCGTGAGACTTGGAGCAGAGCTCATGAAGTGGACTCACGATGTTCTCTGGATTTAATTTAATTTAATTTAATTTAGACAAACATTAAACAGTTTAAAAAGTCATTAGAAGATGGTCATCAATATGTGAAACAATTACTGTTATTACTTATTCATCAAAGTTGTTACTAAATGAAGTTGATTATTATTGTATTATGGTATATTGATTTGGAAAGACTTAATATGTTAAAAATTAGGATTATTCTCTTACATTCATACATGGTTAATATTTATAGGAAAGTTTGTAGCTTTAAATAGCTTTGTCCTGAGAGATAAAGAGACATTTCTGAGGTTGAGCCTCTTGTGTTGGATGTGTGAAAACTCTTGATTTGTCACTTTAAACTGAGAATCAAAGCTAACTTGTATCTGTGTGTGTTTGAATTTGACTCTCAGCTCTACCATCTGGTCTTTACCCTCCCTCTGAAGAAAGATTGTCTCCAGTTCAACAGCCCCCGTCCCCCTGTGTGAAAGGCAGCCAAAGGGTGGTCACTCTGGCACAGCACATCAGTGTAAGTCCAAGGAAGCTTTTTTTATTCATTTCATTTAAAAGAAAAAAGTTTACATTACAGAAAATACAGAACTTATACCACAAAATAAAATGAAAGGCAGCAGAACGAAGAAAAATTTTTTATATCTGCCCCTTTTTACAAAAGAATAAGTTCAT